TATAGAAAAGTTACACGTGTAGCCAGTTGTACACTCGTCTAATAGTTCATTATAGATATGTCTATATAAAACATGTATCCACTATAAGTATTAATAAAAAGCTCGGACCAAAGAGGTTACCTTAATACCGAAAAAAAAAAAAAACTAATAGTAATTTCTAATCATAATAACAAAATTATAAAATAATATTTAAAAAACTAATAAAGAAAAAAATACAAAACAGAACTCTAGAAACAAAAAAAAATCTCTATTCATAAGATTAACATATTTTAGAAATAGTAAAAAATTAATATTTACTAATTTGAATCATATGATTAGAGCTGTTAATCAACTCCAATTAGTCAACTCTGAGTTAACCTTTAGTTGAGCATTTTTTAAATTAATCCTAAGTCAACTTTAGCAATCATATGATATTATAATATTGTAATTTGCTAACAAATCAAATTAATGCTTTTATAGTTTGCAATAAAAAATTTTTGAACTTAGTTTTTATTTTACTAAAACTTGATTTATTTCAATTAAAGTAATTTTTTTTTGATAAAAAAAACAATTTGATAGAACAAATCTTTAAACAATTAATATATTATTTCTTTATAAATATTGAATAAAAAAATAAGTATTATATAGTTTATTTCTTTGTTGCTACTGTATTTAATTTTATTATTATTATTATCTTTTGAATAAAAATCTATAAATTGAAATTTTTCATAAGATTTTTATATAACTTGAAGTTAACTTAAATTGACTTTTGATATTACTCTAAGTGACTTAAATTTTTAACAAGCTTACATGTAATAAGGTTTAAAATTTAGTATATAGAACCCTCATAGTAAAAGTGAAATAAGTCAAAAAATTTTTTTTAAAAAAATTAATATCTTGAAGAATTAAATTGGGTAAAATAAAATTACAGTCAAACCTCTCTATAGTCACATTCTTGGAATACAGAAATTAGTGATTATATAGAAGTATGAAAATATAGAGATATCTTTATATAGTTACAATACTATTAAAAAAAAATAAAAAAAATAATTAGTAGTTATATAGAGAATTTATTAAATAAAATTTTTTTTAAAAAAACTTTTTCAATTGATTAATAATAGTTACTCTATAGAAAAGTCAAGATTTTATTAAGTAAATCAGTCTTTTTATATTAAGTAAAGTTGTTTAGAATAGTAATCTATATATATTATAAAATTTTTAGAAAATATTTTACTAATTAACTTTTACATTTTATATTTCTATAAAAAAATTTAATTTTTTTCATATAAATGTAAATTGTAAAAGTTAATTAGTAAAATGTTTTTTAAAAAATAAGAAAATTTTATAATATATATAAATTGCTCTTCTGAACAACTTTACTTAATATGAAAAGATCGATTTACTTAATAAAATTTTGACTTTTCTATAGAGCAACTGTCATCGATCAATCAAAAAAAAGGTTTAAAAAAAATTTATTTAATAAAAAAAATATTACTAACTATAACCTATGATGATCATCACCTAGAGGCTATATCTCAAAAAACACAGGAATCATAAAAATGTTCAGAACCCCTGAAAACCTCGTGTAACCTAAAATTCGGACTATCATATCTAATTCTTGCTTCTGTTCAAACTGCACCCATGGGTTAATTGTAGTATTTTTCTAATAAAAATAATAATAATATACATTTATTGATTGGTAAATTTATAAATGTGACTATAGTGAATTTGTGACTATATAGGAGGTGACTATAAAGAGGCTTGACTGTATTAACGTTAAAAAATACTTTAGTTGTGGGGGATCTTATATTCGGATCATAATAATTACATGTTTTAAATTGGTGAAAAATGATTTTTTTTAGCATATTCTGGAGCGACTCCCAACCCAGGTTGGAGTGGGTTTAAAACATGTTTATGAATTTGGGGGCAAGGTTTAATTTAATGGATCAACCCGTACTATTCGTCATAGTTACCCACATTAACCTTATACGTTTTGCTTAATATATAATAAGCAAAGATTTTTTAAAATATAAATTTTTAAAATAATTTACATAGTTTGATCGAAAGTTATATATACAATAATAAATATTGTATTTTTTTAAAATTTTTTATTGATATATCGATATACAATTTGAAAAATAGTCGATAAATTTGATGTCTTTGAATTGCGCGCACCATATTTAATATATAAATAAATTTTATTTTATTCGAAATTTTTTTATAATAAAAAGATAATGACTTCTCGTGAAGTTCATTGTGTAAAAAGTCGCATCGCACCAAATACTTTGGTCAGTGCACTAAAGGTACAGAGAGAGAAATGTTTCTTGCTGTAATTAAAATATTTAGTTACCCAGACAAATCGATTCAAATCAACCAATCAAGTGAAAGTCCCTTTACTAAATTCGCTGTCTAATGCTTGACTTACAAACAAATGAAATCTGTAAAAACGCATGTTAAACCTGGACAGAAGGAAACTTTATCTTACTAAAGCATGGTTTGAATTTCTCAGTATGTAAAAACATTATTGATAATAAATATCTAAATATAGGTGGAAGAAACATCCAAAGAATGGAAACTAGAGCCTGAACATGAATTTCGCTTTGAGGTGGATTTTGGCACTACAGTGAAATTAAAGGTATGCATTACTTCAATTGTAAAAAGCCGGAAAGCAGTATTTATTGATATTAAAAGCATGTAAAAAAAAGGATATAAAATGTATATTTTTTTTATTTAATAAAAATAAGAACTTTAATATTTGTTTCGGCATAGAATAACATGTAAGAATGTAAAGTTATACTAATTTAATGATTCGAAAATCACGAATTTTTAAATTATTTACTATTATAGCTGATTTCTGGTACGGCGGAGATATATGGCACAGAAATCGGTATAGGGCCAGAATATGAATTTTCAGGTCGCAAAATTGCGATATTTACGTGGCATGGTTGCAAGATAGAGATATCCTAAATAAGATGAAATTATAATAGAAATAATGAAACTGTAACAACTAAATATTATCCTTAGCAAAATTATGCAACACATCAAAGGAACTTGTAGTGTAGAATATGTCGCTAATGAAACACCAATGACCAGTTATCTCAATATGCATCTGGCACTAGAACAACGCAGAGAAGCAGCCAAAGCCAAAGGTGAACAGGGACCAAGGGTAGCAATTTGTTAATATCTCGTTTGAATTTATACATTCATGTGACTGATTATAAATACTTTCTAAGGTAATGATAGTAGGACCTGAGGATGTGGGTAAAACTTCGTTGAGTAAGATATTACTTGCTTATACGCTGCGCCAAAGCAGACAACCCATATTTGTTGACCTTGATGTAAACGAGGCAAGTTAATTAAAGTAATGATAATTTAAGCTATTCAAATGTTTTTTTTTTTTTAATTTATTTTAGAAATACATAATTACATAGGGTTCTATTACAATGCCCGGTACTTTGACTGCGACCCCGATTAATCAAATAATAGACGTTGAAGAGGGATTTGGTTCTTCGGCGACAACTTCACCATCGTTAGGATCTTCAATGCTTCCAATAGTTTATTATTATGGGTATTCTGATCCAGGAGAAAATGTCAAGCTTTATAAAGTACTAACGGCAAAATTAGCGCAATCTGTCAAGCGCCGTATAGCCGAGGATGAGGATGGTGCGAAAGCTTTTTCATTGTCTCCTTTTACATATCATTATTTCATAATAGTAGGTTATATAACTTTATTCAAATATCTTTGCAGCTAGAATTTCGGGTATGATGATAGACACTAGTGGTCTTATAGACAGTACAGGTTATGAGATTATTCAACATTGCGTAGATATATTTGATGGCAAGTTAACTTGAATTTACTTCATTGTAGTTGTATGACATGAAATTTCCGTAACTTTCAAAATATTTCGATATTATTTCGAAATTTTTTAATTATTTCGAAATTCTTTCGAATATTTCGAAATATTTCGAAATTATTTCATTATTTTCGAAATATTTTGATATTTTTCTAAATATTTCGCAACTTACTCAAATTCTTGAAGATGCAACTACAAATAAAAAAGAAATTTGGATTTTCTCTGGTTAAATATTTTTGATTCTATCTCTCTAGTGAATATTATTATTGTACTTGGTCATGAGAGATTGTACAGCGATATGGCAAGACTATATAAAGACCATTCTAATATCGACGTTTTGAAACTAGCTAAGTCTGGCGGGGCAAGTCTTTATTATTATTATTATTATTATTATGAAAAGATTTTATATTAAAGAAATATTGAAATTTAATTAAACGCAGGTAGTTGATAGAGGAAAAGTTTTTCGTCGTCAGGTTCAAATGCGCAAGATTCGAGAATATTTTTATGGTTTGCCTAAATTTGAGTTATCGCCTTGTTCAACATTGATCAATTTAAACGATATAACTATATATCGAGTAGGAGTTGGTTGGTATTAACATTAGAATTATTAGTGTAACATCTTTAAGTTTTGTAACAAATCGACATTTTGTACACCACGTGGCATTAGGATCATTGGCACCTTCGTCTGCCTTGCCAATCGGGATCGACAGGAAAGTCAGTGAGACTCAATTAGTAAAAGTGGAGCCTGATGATACTATACGTCATTCCATTTTAGCACTTACTGCTGCTAATAGTCCGGATGAACAAACATTACTGGAATCTAATATTATCGGCTTTATATACGTGTATATATACACATTTCATTTACTTTATATTTGAATTTCATATATCAATACTTTTTTTTACATTCTAACTCTACCTTTGATTATAATTAAATACTACAGTTCAGAGGTTGATATGGTCAAACAAAAGATGACTATTTTGACACCGTGTCCCGGTCGTCTACCTAAGCAATACTTGATAATGGGTTCATATAAATGGATGGAAAGTTGATTAACAATACATTTAATTATTTTAAAAATGTCAATTGTTATCATTTGTTCATTAAATAAGTTTAAACATAGTGTCATAAAATTATATATATGTTTTGATCTTTGAGCTTTGTTTTTTTTATTTATTTGAATGGATCTTTTTTTTTTACGTACTCAAATTTATGAGCACAGTAATTGCCATAGCTATTGCCATTATTGTTATTGCTTATTATTATTGATCCAAACCAACACTGTGTGCAACCTTTATTTTCCGATTAAAATGACATTTTACCGTCACACAAAGCTCAAGATTCTAACGCACGTACCTGTGTACATACTAGTGAAATAGTAATAATTTTTAATTTTTTTTATTATATGACGCAATCAAGTAATCTAACAATTAAACTGCGGTAGCGTAGTACGGATGTATAAAAGAATAGAGATTCAAAGTCTTATGATATAATTGGATTCACCGGAGTTTACGGATTTTCAACCGTCCAATTTTGAATTCCTAAAGTCAACCACACGGCCGTTGAACCCCGTACAAGAGCTCTCTGTATATCTGTACAATTTGGTTAGGACTTAAAAGTTATTCCCTTTCAACTAGCATTTCCTTTTGACACTACTGTTCGCATCCGCAACTTTTTGAATACGTGACATTTACTAAAACAAGGTATTACTTTTCTGGTGACATTATTAATGGGAATTTACTGGTGAATGCGATTGAACGCGAGAATATGAAATAACTTTTGAATTTGTGAATTATAATATCTAATTAGAGACAAGACACGTCCAATCTCTTGCATCAATTTTAGATCGTCGTTTACAAACGAAGATCCCAAATAATTTTTTATACTGTTTGACTTTTCCACGTTGATCTAAAAGTGCTGGAAGTTTGTATATTGAAGACATTGAAGAATGGGCCGCAAAGAATTCATTCAAGATGTCAAGACGCTTAAAGAACATTTTCGTGGCTTAAGTTCTAAAAGTGCTGCCTTGGTAAAAGGTACTGATTAACAATTCGTTATCTTTAACCTTTGTCTTTTCAATGATGCACAATAATTTCGCGTATTAATACTATTGACATTATCGATTATATTCCTTTATTAGACTTTGATTTTCAAGATCCGGAATTAAGTTTCAAATTTACATACAAGACTGGAAAATCGTTCACTGTACAGAACTTTGTCAATGGTAGGGTCTCTTATTATTAAAATTAACTTCCCAATTCTTGCCTTTTTTATTTTATTTTATTTTAAATCCGATAATTTGAGTGCGAAGCTTCTTTTTTCTTTGTTGACTTTCCAAGATTCATCTTTACAGTCTTATCCATCTTCGTTCAGTGCATTTATATGTGTGGACAATGCAAATGATGATGAATCTAATACTGGTATATATATTTTATAGCCTTTTAATTGTTCTTCCTATAAACCACTTATATACTAATTTTAATTTATTTGAATAGCTGCAAAGTGCTTATCTAACGTTTGCATCGATAAAAAATCGGTGAGCGAAGTTGTGGCAACTATCGTATCTAAACTATGCGAACATTTCAAGATTTCTCTTCCCAAAGAACTCTCTATGAACTCTTTAATTAAATTTGCTCGCTCTGCTGGAGGCACTTCAGCTGCAAAGCCTACACCATCGACAGTTCAGACTCCAATTATGATGCTAAATCGAGATTTGGTTGAGTTGAAACATTTTAAGTATGTTCAACTATTTAAATAATGTCATTATATTTTTATATTAAATTATTAATTAATTTAAGGTTGAATTATTTTATGTCTTAGATATAATGCTGAGCTGCTTTGTGCAGATCAAATAGGCTTCAAAGTGGCCGTTTCGACGCCGGTAGCTCGACTTGGGTTGAGTTCAGAGGCTTGTGATGCGTGGAATTTAGATCCTGAACGGTGAATTTATAATTTTATTTGATAATTATGAACTATTTAATTAATAAACAATCTAATTAATTAATATTTATTTATCTATTTATGATAATTTCACGCGGTTTAGGTATTTGGTATGCATTATGCAATTCTCTCCAAACTATATAGACCTACAAAGTGCAATAGCTGACGCTTTCCAAGCGAAAGCATATCTTATTAAAGAAGGTGGTTATCAAGCTATAAAAGAATCGTTGAAAAAACAATTTCCTATTCAATTCACCGTATTGACGTCGTCATTACCGAGAGGAGTACCAAGTCAATCACATCATAAAGATGACACTTTGGAGAGCGATCATTTTGTGCTTTCTTGGACCTTAACAAGGCTTTTAAGTGATAAATTCTTTGATATGTTATGTGATCGAATGTGGTTTGGATGTGGCTGGTCTGGTGTCGAGTGGGCAGATCTTAAGCGTAATAAAGATTTAGTTCATGATTTTCTCAATAATGGTGAACTTATTTCTGAACAAATAGAAGAATGTTTAGCTAAAGATGAAGAACAACATGGTGTTTTAACCTATCTTGAAGGTGAACATATTGAAAAGGCTACTGAATCTACAAATCGAAATTTTCTTTTATTGGTTTTACGGTTCCTTCGTCGTAGAATTCTTCTTTCAACAAAATATTGCCTGACATGTCATTTTCCCCATATGGAGTCTGTGTCATCTATTAGACCTTTTGTTTGTGGAACTGCATTGTGCCAACATCAAGCACTTGTAGGCCTTGGCAATCTTTTTGAAGCGGTTTTGGTGAATAGTCCTGTTGTCGTAGATCTATTGATATCTTTATGTTACGTCGCGATAAGTAGCCATAATCTAAGTCCATTTCCGTCCAGGGCTATAGGTATCACTACTGTAACAAAGTATGATATTCAAAATTCATTGGTTGTTGATTGGGATACCAATCAAGGTACGATTGGTACACGTATTGATGCTGGATACGCAGTTTATGGGTGGAAAGGGTTCGATAGTCAAGTGTTGGAAAATGATAATTTGGAGGTATTTCATCCAGAGACAGGTCAACCTTTTGCCGTTAATCGATGCAGTCACACCACCACTGTACGTGTATTGGAAGTTACATCAACATACCTGGTTACCGACTTTCCAATTGTTGTACCAATTTCGGCTGTTTCTAGTCGACATGTATATTTACCTTTCCGCGTTTATCGTCGAAGTGAAAAAAATTTTTTGAACTTGGATGGACAACCTAATTACAGCCTTTTACAAAGTGTTATCGATAAGTTACCACAAGTGAATGAAATGGTGAAATATGCAAAAAAAAAGACTTTGAAGCAAGAGCTAGATAAGCTGGACACTTTATGTTTCCCACTTTTATCATGGATAATTTCTTCCAATCGTACACATTTGCGTTTATTAGAATCCGATGAGGAAAAAGTTCAGTTCAATGAAACGTCATCTGCATATGGAAATTGGAAACAATTTATTATGATAATGAGTTCTCCTGAGAAAGAAGAAACTTTCCAAGTTGAAAAGGATAAATTAAAAAAAGAAAGGCGGGGACAAAGTATATAATTATTATTTGTTATTTAAAGAACTAACGGGTCACTCATTGGTCCGTATATTATTTTTATTTTAGCTTTGGGTGAATTATTCGCTTTCCACGGTTCACCACTTCACAATTGGCATTCAATCATTCGGTAATACCACCTTTGTCCGTGTGCGTGTTAATGATGTGACAAAGTTATGTCGCACTCTTTCTCATTTAATTTTACAACTTCCTAGAACATCACTTAATTGGAAAAAAGTTGTACATGGAAGAGCATTTGGGGATGGAGTTTATCATTCCCTTCAAGCTGCAACCTCAGCATCATATGCTGGAGCTTCATATCATCGATATGAAACAGGTGTATGGAAAAATTCGATGTTGGTTGTCCAAAAATGTATGGCTTTATGTGAAATAGTTAATAGGCCGTCACAGTTCAGAAGGTAATATACCCATTTTTTAAAAATATAATATTAAAGCATAAATTAATGAATTTTCCTCAACGTTTCTTGTTTTAATAGCACAAATCCTCACTTGGTAGTTCAGGATGAAAATTGGATTACAACTCGTTATCTTTTTGTTGAGTGTTTGAGAGATCCATCAGATCCTAATAACGAAAATGAAGACGAAGATTGGACACCAACTTATCAACCGACCCCTGTAGTTCCTTTATATAACATGACCCCATCGTTTGCCACATCAATATCGAATTCGCTATCTAACGTTCTTATTAATCGTCGAAGAGACAACACATATATAACGTTAGATAGTCAATATTATCCGATGTGGTTCAATAATCAACCATTGCAAATTCCTAAACGTGACTTTTCCATAATCTATAATGAATTACCAAAAGGAAGTTCGGTCGACGTAGGTCAATTTATTTACAAACCGGATGCCCAAGATATGATAAAGGTATCACTAGATTCTGGTTACCAATCAAACGGATTTGATGTCAACGATGAGGATGCTTTGGATGAAGTGGACGATTATGATGCTGAGGAAGATCAAGATATGGATGATAATGAAAATAGCGATGAAGATGAAGAGATGTATGATGATGATCAAGATGAGGATTTGGATGATGGTGAGAATTATGAAGACTATGACGATGGGTTTAATTTTAAGGAAACTGAAGAAAAGAATGAAGACAAGTTTGACATCGATGATGGTACACTATCGTTATTCCAATCACTTTGTACTTATTCATAAACATTTATTAATGTGAATCGGTACAATTTAGGCGACGGTTTTGACCTTAGTTTGTTGCCTCTTCCTGGTATGTTTTTGAAATTTTGTCATTTTAAATTAGTATGAATGTATAATTTAATTATTTCACTTTTGCAGCGGAATCATCTAAAGCGGCTACACAACGTATTTGCCGTGAATTAAGGTCTATTATACATAGACAAAGTGAACCTTCTAATGATTTTGGCTTTACTGTTAATACCGAACAATTACAGTCTGTTTATCAATGGGTAGTACACTATTGATTTGCTTAATAACTTTTATCTTTATTAAATTTCACTTGATTATATTAACTTTAATATCCCAATAGGTCGTCCAACTTAAAGATTTTGATCCTTCTCTTCCCTTGGCACAAGATATGGCCAGGAATAAGGTAAAAACAATCGATTTAGAAGTAAGATTTGCACCCGACTATCCGTTTGTACCACCGTAAGTTTCTCATACTACTATTTACCTATAAGTTTTTTAAAATTTATTTTTCAACGCTGATTTATTTTATCAATTATCAAGGTACATTCGCGTAATTAGACCAAGACTTTTACGATTCATGGATGGTGGTGGTGGTCATGTAATTATCAATTGTTTTCTTGTGTCAACATGGTTTTTCTTTTATTAATCATTTATTTTAACCGATTAAATTAGGTTACTGCTGGTGGATCAATATGTATGGACCTTTTAACACTTGGAAACGCGCTAGAACGCGGCTGGTCTTCTGTCTATACGATGGAAGCTGTCTTGTTACAAGTATGTCATATTACTTTCATAATATAGATAGATAATATATATTTGGTACTTATTATATTTAATATCAGGTTAAAATGGCTTTAAGTTCGTTGGATCCAAAGCCTGCGAGACTCGATCGTCATTGGAACAACGAATATACACCTGGGGTGAGTAATATGCGGATTTTTTTTAAAAAAAACAAAACAAATAAGTAATATAATAACAATTGTTATTTTTTTTACAATTTCTTAGGAAGCTATTGATTCGTTTATAAGAGTTGCAAATAATCACAACTGGACCATTCCACCACAATGGTCCACTTTGTTTGGCCGCTAATGGAGATAGTGCTTGTTCATGATCTCGGTTATTAGCAAACCGCGTCAGGGAGGTGCTTGAAAATCCCAATATTAGATGTATAATTATGGTGACATCACAACTATAAGTAATAATTATGATAAATACAAAACCAATTGTCTCTACTTTTTAATAAATTAAACAATTTTCATCTTAAATATCAATGATACAAGTGCCATAATATTTTAACAATTGTAGCAGTGAAATTCAAATTTTGAATGTCAAGTTTTTTAGAATCGTTTATAATTATATTTCAGTTTGTCTGATGCATTAAAGAACATCTTAACTAATTAATACCTCCGAATCTTGCCTAATGTCTTCAGCTTCTTCGATCTTATCATCTAAGGCTTTTAATGAGTTGTAGTCTGCTTTTTCAACTCATTTTGTTTTTTCTTACTTAAAATACCTATCAAAGAAATACATTTTAACTCCAATATTATACCTGAAGTGAATCTTGTGGTTGATGGGTCGAAAAGTTCAGGCGCAAATCACTTCGAATTTTCTAACATTTTTTTAATGAGTGAATGAAGACAGAATAAAGTTGAGTGGTTTTTTTGTTGAAAGTATCAATTCAATTGCTATCTAAAATGCAATAATTTTTAAACATTCTAAAAGATTTGGATTTATGGTAATTTAAAATTAGATCAGAAATGGTAAGATGTTACCTTTCAATATTGACTTATATGTAATATTTATCAACAGGGTTATTATTTACAATGCCTAACTATTTGAGAAAAAATAAATTAACTAATGATTTGTTAATAAATGAGAGCAAATAATTAATACATTATAATAAAATATGATGTTATTTTATAATTAAATTTTATATAGTTAGAATCTTTTTTCTAAGCAATTATTACTACCTACGTTTTTTTTTTTTTTTTTTTTTTAAATATTAACAGTAAGGTTATGCTTTTAACTTTATTGAAATTCAATTGAAGTTTTTACAAAAAAAAATTTGCTTTTAAATTACAAATAAAGAATAAAGACTTAAACATATAATTTGTGACCTAAACCTATAAGAGTGGCCAAGGCTCACCTAGATTTGAATGTTAGTAATAATATAGAAAAGAGAAATATGATATTTAATCTATTGGATAGTCTAAAGATCAATTTTAGTAATAATTTGTAGTATTGAAATAAGAGATAAGAGTAAACTAGAACTACTTATGTTTTTTTTTTTTAGATTATACAAATGTTTTTATTATAAATATCAAATAAATAATATAAAAGAAACAATTATAATTATATTATGAATAATTGATTTTTAAGTTAATAAATATTAATAAACATTAACTTATCAATTTATTAAAAAAATTTTTTCTGTTATATGATTTTTAATGTTTTTTTATTATAATATATAAAAAAAGTTTTTTGTTTTTTTAATATAATTATAAAAATTTAGAAATATAAATAAATTTTTTTTGTTATAATTATATAAGTTTATAAAACAAATAGGATTTACAAAAACAACTAAGTAGTATAAATTAAACTTATTGTATATTTGATGATTGAGAATAGTTAGTTAAGAAACTTGTATAATATAACATTTAAAGTTGTTGTAAATATATAAGTAGATCATAGTAAATTTTTAATAAAAGAGAAGTAATAGTTTTATTCTAATTAATGTTATTGAGTATAAGATATAATAAAGTAAGATCAAGGTTTTTGATAACTTGATTTTATTAATTAGTAAGTATATTAATAATAACATTAATAATAGAATAGGAAGAATAAACTATTATAAAGACTTTTGAAAAAGAATAAAATTAATAGAGTTATACAGTAGAGTATCATATTATTATAAACACTTTTTAAAAATTTATATTAAACTAAATAAGCAAAAATTAAGTTCAAAATTATATAAAAAATTGCCTAAATCTAAGGCTTTTAAATAAAAAAAATCTATAAAATTCTATATAGTAGTTGTTAAAATAGTTAATATTACACAAAATTATATAATGTTATATTTATATGAAAATAGTAATTGTACAAATTTGGTTAGATTAAGTTTTTATAAAATAACTTAATTTTTTATTAAATAAACTAAATTTGATTATTAAGTAAAATTTGTTCAATATAATAAATTACAAATAATTTTAAATTGTTAAAAACTTTTAAAAAATTTTAAACTAAATATTATTATTAAATATAAAAGTTAAATTATTAAATTGATAATTAACAAATTGCCAAATAGAGTAATTTTACTATTTTTAATAATTTTATAAATATTTTTTTAAAAATTTTAAAATTTCAAAATATGTGTATTTTTTTATACTAAACAATTTGTTTTGTTTTTTGTTTTTTTTTTATTAAAATGATCCTTTTGGTCTTTTAACTTTTATTAATCACTTATTAGTATTGTAGTTCAATGAACTATTACAAAAAAGTATACAATTGGTTACATATATAACTTTTCTATATTACCTATTGTAATAGAATTTACTTTTTTTTCTATATTAGTATATATTTATTTTTAGCTCTATATTATATTTTATATTTTTTTTAATATTTTTACATAGTTTATAGATTATTTTATTAGTTTTAATCGCCTATTTAATAGGTTAATATTTATTTTATTAGTAGATTTCTTATAGTATTTTATTTTACCCAATAGTTGTTAGAATATCTAAAAATACAGTTGTTTAGTATTACAAGGACCTTGATCAAAGGCTCCAGATTATGCTTCAGATGCCCCAGGTGCCTCCAAACATTCTAAAATGATAAAACAATTAATTTAAGTATAGTTAATTAATATTTATTAATTACAGTATAATGCAATATTTACTATAATGTTACTATATAATTTCTATATACTACTATAGTTATTTTTAGTTGTACTTAGGACAACATATGGGCTACACAATGATATTTATTTTTTTTAGTTAATATATAAGTTATTGTACAATAAAGTGCTAAGCATTGGTAAAAATAGAAAGATACAAGATTGATTTATCATTTGTGTACAAGTATTATTAGTGAAATGTACATAAAATTTCTTAATTTTTGCTGTATTTTGAATGTCTATATGGTCTAAAATGATGCTACAACTCATAGTAGCTCTAAAACTAATCAATTATTAGGTTAAAAGCTATAAAAAAAATAGCTTTTTGCCCTTCTAAAAGGACAGTTCTTAGAAGTTCTGTTTTTATATATATAAAAAGCTTCTTGTAATAATTATTTAACCAACAACTCTTTAATAAAATAATTTTTAACTACTATTCTTTAAATATTATTTATAAAAACTATTATTTATTTTATTCTTTATTTTATTTTTCTCTATATTTTATCTTTATTTTTTTTATTTTTTTTTCTTGTAATAATATAAAGTGAATAGCTAGTTTTTTTAATTAATTATTTAACAAATACTAGCTTTATATTATTGGAATTTAAAGTTTATATATAGCTGTAAACAGTCTGATTATTAAGACTTTTTTTCTTCTAGTTATACTTTATAAACATTTCTAAGTTTTAAAGTCTAATAATCCTTGTACAGAGTAAACATTTTGTTACATCCAATCTGCACAAACTGAACAATAGAATTAGTTTAAAAGCTAGTTTTATTGTTGTACCTTATAGTGCCTAGAAGGCTATTGAATTTAAATTTTACTTTTATATATTTATTTCTTATTTTTGTTTATTTTTATTTATTTTATTTTCTTTTAAATAAAAAATCTTTTACTCAACACTTATGTTATTAAAAATTATTACAGCTTGCTAGTTTTTAGTAAATTTTATTATACTATTTAAAGAGTCTACCTAAAGGTTCTTTATTAATTGCTATATCTAATATTCCTGTTTGGATATTTCACTTTAAACCCTCTGAACTTGTAATTTATATTAACTTACTAGATCATACTCAGATGCTCAGATCATTGTCTCAACCTTAGAACTAATTTATTTTTAAGATAAATCTTCAAAGCTTTCTGTACTTATTTTTACAACTGATCTAAGTATTACTATAGCAGAACTAATACTTGTGATTAAAGCTTAATTATTAAACCACTATGTCCTTATAGAGTTTATTCAGACCCCAATATCTACTTTACAGTATAATTCCAATACTTTAGTCTACCTCTAAATTTTATCAAACTTCTAATTCAGATGATCTGTATAGGACTACAATCAGTTTATCAGTATATTAGATTAGTCTAATATTCTTTTCTTCTGGTTTATTACAATGGCCTGGTTGGTGGTATCTTTAAGACTTCCAAGTTGGAGATTCTTGCCTATCTGGTTAATAAGACCTAGATATTTATTTCCTCAAACTAGCCTTTATAGTAGTACTGTTAAAGATCCAGCTATCTCTCTATTTGGGTCTTTCTAAATAGACTTCTTGTTAACTAATTTTAATATATTTATATAACTATGAAGACTTATCTAGTATTTGTATTACTTAGTTGTTAGTTTGTATTCCTTTATATAACTCTAACATTGCACAGATGCCCTATAATCTGCCAGTCATGCTGATATGACTATTATTACAGGTATCTTAATCCAATTATTAGTAACAGTTGTTATAATATAAATATTAAATAGGTGATTATCTAAATTTTTACTATCGATAAGATTTGAATATCTAATCTACCACTTGAAAGATTAATAACTTAACTACTTCACTAGGTTACTAAACTCTTACTAAACAAATTTTATTTAATAATTAAGCTTAGTTTACTTAATAAAAAATTAAGTTGAATATATATTAAGAATTAAAATTAATATTTACAAGTAACTCTTGATATAAAAAACCTTCAATATAAGAAAGTTGGCTTATAAGAAAGTTTTTAACTGACCCTGATTTAAGCTTAATAAATTTCACTCGATATAAGAAAGTTTATTAAGAATCTCTTAATATAAGGATATAAGAAAGTTCAGGCTGCCTCTTTATTATTAAATTAGTTGCAATATAAGAAACTACATAATGTATATCCAATCAAAATTCGAGATCATATAATACAAATATATATATATAACACAAAATTGATTTAAAAAAAATCCTGCATATGTGCATATAGGTAGAAAAATACTGTAATTAATAATTATATTATGGAACCAGTTTGAATGCATGCATATGCCCCATGATCGAACAAAATTAACAAGGCATATATATTAAAATAGGAATAATAGAAGCACTGTAATAAGGTTTTAGAATGGTGATATGAAAAACAATCAGATAACAGAATATAGTAGGAAAAACAAAAAAAAAGTGAAATACATTATATTAGTAATGTGAATAGAGTTAAAATAGGTAAACAAAATAAGATACTTATCTTATAATAGTTTTAAAACAATCAATAAAAGGATAAATAGTGGAAAAAGTAATAAAGAGAACCTAAAAATAAACAAGTTAGATGGCAGTTACAAACATATATAAAAGCATTGACAAAATTATTAAATAAACTTATCATTTATAGCCCCAATTTTTTAGAAAAATCATTCACCCTTATAATAGTAGTTGTTAATTGTTAAGTTGTAAAGTTGTAATTAGTAGTAGACCCAATTAAGTAAAACTATAATGTATAGAATTTAGTAAACATACTAGCCAAATTATTCACACCTTAAATAAAGCCACCCTTTTATGTTTAATGCTATTATTACTCTTGTCATTTTGTAGTAACTATAAGATCCATTTACCAACCTCATAAAATGAAAGAAAAAAAAAGATACAAACCAAAAAAAAACAAAAGAAGTCTTATTAGTGTCAAGTCTGAAAGAATTAAATACAAAAAGGTCAATTATAAAGAAGATACTTACCTAAGCTGATAATATTGCAAGAGATTAGAAGAAAGAAGACAAGTAGTCAGAACCCAGAAAAAAGCCATTGAGAGACTTAAAAATCAAAAGCATAATGAAAATAAAACTCAATCCCAACATAAAAAAGAAAAGAAATAAAAATTTTGTTAGAAAGAATATTCAAGAAAAAAAACAGAAGAAAGGAGCAAAACTAAAGAATACTGTATCTGAACAAATAGTAGAAACTATGAAAAGTGTCATTTGGATAATATCTTTAATAGTCATATTGATAACCTACATATTATAGTAAATAGACAATTAACTAATTAAATTGATCGCAAATAATTACATCATAACTTACAATGCATAAAAATGCAATGACAGCTTATTATTTAAGTTAGCTATATAAAAGCAAATCTTATTCTATATATTTTTTTCTTTTTAAGATCAGTACTTTAACAAAAGCTGGTTCTATACAGTATTATTTTTGCTATTAAGTTTTTATAATTACATATTAGCCTTTGGTTAAAATGGTAAAAACTAGTAACTCTTCAAGTAGCAACTATTAGTTTGGTCTTCAGTTAATAGAGTTGAAAAAAGAATGTTAAATAAGACAAACACCAATAAGGTTAAGAGACAAACTATTGAAACTGAAAAGGCTAAGTGAATTATATTGACAAAAGTTCAAAAAGCTGAACTTTGTCACTTGTATAAAAGTGAATATACTCAGCTTTTACTTGCAAACTATTTTAAAATTGGTGAATCAATAGTTTCAAAAATACTTAAACAAGAAGATTACTGGCTTTCAATTAATCCAAATTCAACACAAGCAAAGTCTAAACAAGATTGCTCAGCTAAATACCCCCAGCTTAAAGAAGTCTTAAGTTTATAGATTTTAAAAGCAGAAACTTATTATTAAACAATTATGGGAGCAATTATTTAACGTAAAGTTTTTCAGTTTGCTGAAAAGTTACAAATTAGTAATTTTGGAGGATCTAAAGGGTGGCTTGCAAATTTTAAAAAAGATTTCATATTAAAGAGTATACAAGACAAGAAGAAGCAGCAAGTACTCCATTAAATGAACTTTCACAATACTATGATGAACTCAAAGATATTATTAAAAACTATAATCCACAAGATGTGTATAATTGTAATAAAACTGGCTTGTATTGGTGCTTAGAATCTGAAAAAACTCTTGCAAGTGGGCCTGTTCATGGAAAAAAAAAGGCAAAAGATCATGCTACAATTCTAATTACATGTAATAGTACTAAATTACCTCTACTCTTTATCTATAAATACCAAAACCCCCATGCTATTCGACACATTGATAAGGCAAAATTGACTGTTTATTACTATTGAAATTCTTCTTTCTAAATGCAGCTTTCAATTTTTAACTATTATATTCGAATGCTTAATGAACAAATGAAATGAGCAAAAAGAAAAATTCTTTTATTAATGGATCAAGCTTTACCACATACTCTTGAAAAAGGATTTGTTCTTTCTAATATTAAAATATACTATCTTACTACTAATATAACAACACATTTGCAACCTTGTGATGCTGGTATTATTTGGAGTTTTAAGGTGCACTACCATAAACTATTTTGTGAAAACTGAATTGCAGCTTATAAAGAAGCAATTGAAACAGGTGAAGATACTTTGATTTTTAATATTAAAGATACTATTGATCTTTCTGCTAAAGTATGAAAAAAAGTTACCAATAATACAATTTGTAATTGTTGGATTAAAACTGGAATTCTTCCAGATAATTATTTTTTTTTGAATGATCCTTTACTAACCATCCAGAAACTAATAGAGAATTTTGAATTAGTTGATCTTACCTTACCAAGATCACAAAAATTAGAGAGTATAAATCATACTGATCTTGTAACAGAAATTCAGTCTCTAATCAGTCAGCTTCCTGTAACTAATCCAATGCAAGTAGAAAATTTTATTGAGCCCAATCATAGTATTGAAATGGATATAATGCCTAGTGATGATGAAATAATTACTGTTATACTTGATTATGATTGCAATAAAGATGATAAAAATAAACCTGAAGTTCATATTTCTTATAAAGAAGTTATTACAAGCATTAATAATATTTTGCATTTTATTGATCAAGAAGATGGATTTAAAGTAGATGGATCTTTTGTTCAAAAACTAAATAGGTTTAAAAAAATGTAGTTAGGGATAGCATTGCTAAAAAAAGACAAATGACTATAGATTTATATATGCAAAATTAGTAATTTAAAACAGAAAATTTAATGCTTTAATTATAATAATTTGGTTTATCGATTTAAAATAAATAAATTTAAAGTTTGCTTATTTAAAGATTGAATAAGTAGAATTTGTTTTTTAAACTTGAAAGATTTCTGTAAAATTAATATATACGGTCAACCTCTCTAAGTGCAACTTATTAGAACTAGGCTTTTAGCAACATTTACTTAAAAAATAATTAAAATAAATTACATTTACAGAAACAAATACCATATAGCACTGCTTATAATATCCTTTGAAAATAATATCCTATTACATAAGATACCCTCCCTTTCTACCAATAAATCACTGAATCTATGAATAGTACTCAGTACTAATCAATTTTAAAAGTCAAGGTTTTGAATAAGACCCTAGTACTATAAGCAGTGCTATACAGTATATATATCAGACATATACTTAGATCTGAAGTTAAAGGTGTATTATAAGTGAAGTTGCATTTAAAAAGTTTTAACTGTAATTAGTTTTGTTTACTAAAAAATAGTTGACTTATTATATATAAAAGTAGCACTACTTAAATGTATGCTAGGTTTGTAACACAGCAAAAATTCTTTAACATTTATTTATATTAGAATTAGAGTTAGGGTTAGAAGATAGTTTATAATAAAATTGTCTAATAGAACCTTTTTTGTTAGATTATTAAAGGTAATTTTTTATGCTAATTTTCAAGAAATAAGCAATTTTTAACAAATAGATATTTGATTTAAATTTTCTTAATCATGATACATTGTGCCTGATCTTGAAATCTAATTCATAGTTCAGACAATTTGTACTACAAACCTAGCATACATTCAAGTAGTACATAAAAGTAAGTATTTAATAATTGTCTAATATAGATAAAAAAAATTGATACTTTGCTATTAAATTACATATTAAAACAAATACAGTTAACTACTGATATAATGAATGCCCTTTATATCAGATTAAACAGTTTAGTAGATTGCTAAATTTTTAAACCAGTTAAATAAACTTATGTTCTATATAGTGAAAAGGTTTGATAGTTTACTTAAGTGAATTAACTGGCAACCAATTATGATATTATTCTTATAACAATTAAAAAATATAATTTAAAGAACTCCATAACAGAATTTTTATTTGTCAAACTATTCTATTATATAAATATAACAATTATGCTATATAATAAAATCTTTAGGCCAGTTCAATTTTTTGATTATTAATATGTAGTTGTAAATAAATAAATAAATAAAATAATTTTAAATTTTTATTAGTGATATTATTCTTGATAATCAAACCTATAATAATTAATAAATATAAATAAATTATATATATTGTATTTTAATTTATAAATAGTTATATTTAGAAATATTTGATATAACAAAGTTTTTATTAAAACATATAACCTTTCTTATAATGAAAGTCTTTTGTTATAAGAAACTCTCGATATAAGAAAGATTTTAGTTGGACCCAAGAACCTTCTTATATCGAGAGTTACTTGTATATTAAATCTCTATTAAAAACTAGGTTTTAGTATAAATAAAAAATCCTAAAATTTTTTAAACTTAATTATTTCAAAAAATATTATATAGAATTTTATATATTTTTTATTATTTGAAAACTATAGTTTTAAATAATATTTTATATAATTTTTAGTTCTATATCTTGTTTATTTAGGTTAATATAAATTTTCAAAAAGTATTAACAATAATATAATACCTTACTGTATATTTTGCTTATATCTTAAGATAAAAACTAAATTGGTTTATAGTTGCATAATATATCTTTAATAAGATTATTAAGTATATAAATTAGTATAAATGTGTTGTTATTAAATAAAGCAACATAATTGTATAGTAAAAGAATAGAATATTAATAGTAATAATTTTTGTATAAACTTTTTAAGAATAAAGTATAATTTAGATTATTTTTATATACAAAAAAAGGGTTAACTCTTCTCACTGATCACCAAAGCACAAACTTACAAAAAAAAAAATTGAATTTTATACAAAAACCAGTATCAAAACAATAGTTAAAGACTTAGACAAAAAGAAAGATTACTTAAAACAGATCTAGTAAGTGCAAAAATAAGGAAAATAAAAAAAACATAGCAAGTAGAAAGAAGACAAGCTTGACAAACAGAAATCAAAAAAAAAATTTTGAAGAAAACAGTATTAATCTGAAATTGTATATTGTTTTGGACTATATGTATATATAAGAAAACAAATAAACATATACAAAAATAGGAAGAATAGATATATAAGTATTACAAAATACATATGATAGAAGTATTTAAAAATAGTTATATAAGTATAGTCAGATATTAATACAAATAAAAGCAGAAGAGTCTAGGATGCTAAAGTTGGTAAATGAAAAGGCAGAGACAGTATTAAAACTTATAAATAGCAAAGAGTTAAATCAAGAACTAGCAAATAAAGACAATCAATTTAATGTAAAAGATATAGTTACAGTAGCATTATAAAAAACAGATTTATTAAAAATAATAATGCTAAGAAAAATATACAAAACAATAATTAAAGTAAATGTAAAAGACCTAACTAGTATAAAAAAATAAACAGAAGAAATAAATCATATAAGCCAACATTCAATAGCAATAGAAAGTATGAGCAGTAAAAAAAATCAATCAATATCAAAAGAAGAAGTAACCACATCAGAAATGTATATAAAGAAGATGAGACAAATGACAGATACAATAAATATAGTAATAAAAAAAAAGAACTACAATAGAACACAAGTGAAGAAGAAAAAAAATGACAAAAAAGAAGGAATAAAGAAGACACAAAAGATACAAAAGACACAAATGTGGTAACAAACTGAATTTCTTAAACCTAAGCAATTGCATTCTTTTAGAAAAAATCAATTGTAATAGTAACCACTTGGTTGATTTAGATGTTAGTAATTGTTTCCATTTAATTGAACTCGATTGTCATAATAATTTGGTGACAATGAAAACAACAATAGACAAATACATAGAAGAAGAAATTAAAACATTAAAAACAAATTAATGCAACAAGATTGTCAAGATATAATAACAGCAATTAGAAGTCAAGAAGAAGAAGAAGAGAGAAGAAAAAAATAAAATCATAAAATAGAAAGAAGCAGCTTTATGAAGGCATCATTAAAACAAAGTATATAGTTATCTATAAACAGAGATTGTAATAAAAAACTAATATATGCAGCAAAAATACTAGCATATAACATACTAGGCAGCTTAAAAGAAGAAAGAACAAAATTTGTAAAAAGACTATTAATAACTAATAAACATGTAATAGAAGTCAAAGAAGTGTTCAAGAAGGGTAATGCTTGGATTGTAATCAATTTTGATTGTAAATATGGTAGAGAAGAAGCAATCAACAAGATTTAAAGAAAACATAATAACTGGTTCAAAATGATCTCTGATACAGAAGAACATAAAAATAAAAATAAAAAAAAAGGAAAAAAGAAGACAAAAAAGAAAAAGGAAACAATAAGAGAAAAGAAAGATGCAAAAGAGAAAAAAGAAATAAAAAGCAAAATAAAGAGCCAAAGAGAAGAAAACACAGACAAAAAAAAAAAAAAAACTTAGTAACGCTTATAGTATGGGACCTATCAAAGGAAATCTCAGAGCAAGAGGTCAAGTATCTAGTAAGAAAAGTAGAAAATATATTCTTATACAAAATGAAAAGAAGTACATATAAGATGACAGCAATAATTAAAGTTAAAAAAGAGGCTGAACAGATATTCCTATAAATAATTGCTTTGAGAAATAGAAAACTAGTAAGAATAATAGTAGATAAAGAAGAAAAAAAAAACAGTTTATAGCAAGACTAAAAAGAATACCAAAAGGAATATCTAAACTAATTCTTCTAAAAGAACTCAAAGTTAAAAAGGCAATGGCAGTATATATACCATCAAATAGATGAGAAAAGCCAAAAAATTATGTAATAGTATTATTCAAAAGCCAAACATATATAAATATAGCTACTAAGAAAAAAGTTTGGTATAATGGAACTTTAATGTTTTGGTAATGCAAAACCCAAAAAGATAATAAAAAAATATAAGAAGACAGTAGTAGAAAGCAAGAGATACAAAAGAATATAAAAAAGATACAAGAAGATACAAGCTCAGAAGAAAAACAAGAAAATGCAAAAGATCCAATAAATCAATACAAAAAAAAAATAGAATTAAAAGAAAACAGAAGTGATTAAAAAAACAAAAATTACAGAAACAAAATATAAAATAAAGAAATATAACAACCAAAGACCAAAATTAAAAAAACACAAAGAAGGAAAAGATAGTCTAAAAGAAGCCATAAGAAAGAACCTTATATATTAAAAACATGTTAGCCCTAATATTAAAAAAACTAGAAAGCTAGAGAAGAACAGAGAGAAAAATGAAATAAAACAACCCAACTGCTCTAAGAATATTATAGTTGAATTAATGAATATAAACAAGAAAATTAAAGAGTTTTTGCAAAATAAGAAAAAGGTTTTTTTTTAAAAAAAAAGAAGTAGAAACTCCTTGTCAAAGTATAAATAGTAAAAAGAGAAAAAGAGTTAAAAATATAGAAATAGAATAGAAATCACTAAAAGAAAAGTAGAAAAAAGAAAAAAAGAAATAAAGCTGGCATGTCATAATGTTAATAAACTCAAAACCAAGGGTTAAAAATTGAAAAATCTATTTAGCTAAGCAGAAGAAAAAAAAATCACAATAATGAGAATTATAGAAACAAACTTTACAAAAAGAAAAGAAAAATTTTTAACATATATAGTAGACAAAAGATATATAAGTTTTTGAACAAATATAGTTAAAGATAAGAAGAAAAGTTCAGGCATTAGAATTATAATTAATGAACAATAGGAAAAGCACATAGGTGCAGTTAAAAAAATAAGTGAATATACAAGAAGGTATTATATTATTGTGGACACTTTTTAAATATTTATAATAAATTAACT